CCGAGGTCCGCTCGCATAGACGTGGTCCGACTAAAAACCCTGGACCCCATGAACCCTACAAATCTATGAGTCCCAGGTGGTGTCCTTGAAAGCTTACTTCTCAAAGCAGTGGAGGGACAACTGTGAAATGCTTAAGTTGTTGAGACGCAGTTGAGAGTCGTCTTTTGCAGACAGTGCCGACCCAACTAGCGACTTCTTCAACTTTTGTGGTTCAACAACGTGCTGTGCTTGGGACGGTGGAAAGCAGGTGCTGTTGCGAAGGAAGCTACACATTGCGAAAGTTGCGCAGGCCTCCCGGTTGAATTTGGTGGGACATTCTTGCCTTCAGCATGCCGGGGATTCTCCGTCGAAGCTCTAAGCAAGAGGAAACCAAAGAAAAAATTGTCACCCAATATCTTTACACGTTGGTATGCCAGCGGATCTGACCTGCAATGATACGGAAAATGCCATTTCCATCTTGTAGCATAGCTGATGGGAATTGCGACGCGATTCGGGTTGCAAGTTGATGGAAAGGAAGTCTTTTGGAGATCCAGTCTTGGGTTTTGGCAGGGGGCGGCTGGGAACAGGCAACGAAGGGTGTTGGGCAAGAACGCACTTGGATAAGATAATTATTGGATTTTGGCTTGAGAGTTGGGTGCTTAATTGTTGGGGGTCAGGACGTGTCTGGGGTAGAAGCGTTAGGAATTTCGGCTTAGAGCGTCAGGAATTAGGGTGGCTATGGGCATTCGCCAACAGACGAACCAACAAAGCATAGCATAACCGCCCAGGAAGGGTGGCAACGTTCTTGCATAAAGCCCAACAAAAGTCCAGGCAGCATTTCAGCTTTTTGAACCCTCAACGATGCAAATTTGTGTCAGGCATACACATTTTGGCGTTCTTGCTCCGGTCGCTGTGAGTGGGATTTGGATCTTGTGCCATTCGGAGCCGTGACCTTGCCACAGGTGCTCACCCGTGCTAGCCTTCTCGTACGATTTCGGCGTGAGCGCCTCCAGTTCCTGTTTCACAGTTTTCCGTTCTGCTGAGTGTGCGTGTGCCTGCCAGCTGTACTGCACGCATGCTGTTCCGGAATCGCAGAACCGCCGCTGCTTTCTGGAAGTGATCGACCGCTTTTTGCACAAACCTGAGGGAACATGATACGGAAACCACCAACTCGCATACCCTTATCGATACACAGCAATGCTCACACTATGGTAGTTGACTGGCGTGCGTCTGCACAGCGTACATCCAATTTAGTGCACAACTTGTGGAACAATGAGCCGCTCGATCACAGCCTGAGGTCAGAACGCCGTGTCACAAGCTGGTGGCTGCATAGTGTACCCACATGGCCCAGAAGCTGGGCAGCTATTGAGAGTTCATGGTTGTGGGGTGGGAAGTTACCCGTGTGGGTGGTGCTTAAGGATTGTGCCACGGGTGTCAGGATATTTCCGATCCACTGCTAGGTGAAAGTCGATATGAAGGCTGCTGCTCCTTTTTGGCTGTGAGCTTGATGGGATTCCAAATGTCTTGGCCATGCATCATCAGAGGCCCCTTGAAAGAGCCAAACCTCAAAACCTTTGTGCCACTTTGGTCGAAAGACACATAGATCCTGAGACCAATATGCTGTAAACCCGAAACCTCTCAAATCTATATGTTTGCTTGAAGATCCTGTCCTGGGTCCTCAGGAAGTGTGGCTGCGAAAGCGTTTCTGGCTGAAAGAAGCTCGCCAGCATTGGCCACGATTACCAAAACATGCTAAGAGCCAAACCGTGCTCAAGCCGGAACCCCAACAGTCCTCCTCTAAAGCGCCACATTTCAAGCGAGGAAACTCGGGAACATTCCCATTCATTAATGGCCAACTTGTGCTTCGATTTTCCGGTGAAGGCGAATTCTTCCGTGGAGGGAATCTTCCCAGGTGGAAGCCATTCTATAAGAACTTACTGTTTGACGCTGAACTCAAACCCCAGATACATCGTTCTCAATCCCTGTTCTTGTCTACGGCCAGCAAGGCAAGAACCTATGTTGGCATTGAATTCTCAAAATTGAAAACTGACTACGGCCAATTCATTCGACAAGAAACGGGCGTAGATGAGATTAGACCCTGGAAATTTCTTATTGGGGCACCCTGCAGATAAGAAATCTGAGATTGGCTCAGGGCCGGAGCAGATTTCTGATCCGAAGGGCTGGAGGGGTTGGGGGCTGTGGAGGCCCCTTTCTCATTGCTCCCACCTTCGAAGGCTGGAGGGGTTGGGCTGGAGGCTGCAGGAGCTGGAGGGGCTCCAGCCCCTCCAGCCTTTCGCTTTGCTTTGCTGGATAAGAAATCCGGTTCAACTGAGCTGGAGGGGCTACCGTCCAGCCCTTACAACGCCTGGAGGGGCTGGAGGCGAGGGGCTGGTCGGGCTGGTGGAGGGGCTGGAGCCTCCCGCCCCCGAGCCCTCCAGCTCAGCTTTCTTATAACTCCCACCTTTAAACCGAACGCAAAGCCCCTCCAGCCCTTTCGTTTGTTTTGCGTTCGGTTTGAAGGTGGGAGGGATAAGAAATTCGGCAGCCCGGCCAGCCCCTGATTTCTTGTGTGGAACGATTTCTTATTGAGTACGTTCGCCGTACCGTAAAAAGCCACGTACCAGGGGCGCTTTGGCAGCACATAGTGCGGCAACCTGAACAACCAAAGACCAACACAAGTTGAGACTGATCTTAGGTTGTAACTGCGATTTCCCACTTCATGCTGCTATCACAAGGGACAGCAGTCAGGTTTTGCAATGTAGACTGGACTCTTCATACAGTCAGAGAGGTTGGTGATGCCGCATGCCATCTCTAGACCCTTAAAAAGTAAGAATGCTGAGTAGCCCAGTCCGTTCCCCTCTTTGCCAGCAGCATGACCACTTCAACTGCTGATCCTCTGTTTACGACCTACTGCTTCCACTACTAGTTTTTCATGGCTTTGTGACAAGGAGAAGATCCGGCAACATGGCTTGAATGGAATGCCCGGCGAGCTTCACAGATTTGTCGTGACCAGCAATGTGTCCAGGATGCCTTAGTACAGTGGTTGACGGGTATGCAAGGGGGTGGCGTGAGATTTCGTTGGCATTCAAGTAGCCCTTCAATCAGGACTACGTATATTGTTTTTGTAGGGGCTGCACAGACGTTTCGTAAAAATGCAGTAGCTTGTAAGCAAGCTATGTAATGGTTTCAGAGTTTCTGTTTCGGCATCTACCCGATTGCGCTGTCTAACGCTTGACATGCTTATTTCTCAGAATTTGCTAGAAGCAGTTGCGAGCTCCAACTCAAAGGATGTTTGCCTTTGGAGTGCATCCCACGACACCTTGTGTGGCCAAAAGCCGAAACCCCAAACGCATATAGGCCGTATGATAAAGCAAGCCCGAAACAGTGCGCAACCCGGAGCAGGTGGTCTGCGACACTGGAGAGGATCGGTGCTTCCTTGCAGGCTCATATCCGTATCAATGCTGGTCTGGTGGCATCCCTCTCAGTTGCCTTTTGGATCGATTTATTTTGAAAGCTTTTAGGTTATCTCGCTGTTTTTGGGACCCACAAGCCTGAAAGCTCAGAGACAACGCTATAAAGGTGTTTGAGTAATCTAGAGCTCAGAGAAGAATGAGAGGGTCATTTTCGGGGAGCCGCCTAACAAGGACGCATGACGTGCAGGCTTTTCATTTTGTTTTAAGTCTTAACCCAACAAGGGACATGTTCGCACAAGCTGCGTCTTAAATCTTCGTCTCTGAACGCTACGCTGATGGCAAGGAATTCTTGAACGCAACGTACCAGGTGCACGCCAATAGCAAAGACTTTGTAAATTCAGAAAGCCCTAAAAATTAGGCCCGCGCAGCAAGAGCTTGAACCCAGGCATCTATCCTGCGACGCGCTGTGGAGCCTACAACGTGTCAGTCGCATGCGCGCCTTTGTCGTTTACTTTGAGATTTGCCGTGGTACTTTGAGTTTGGAATACTTTGGAGACTAAGGCGTAGCCGATTTGAACCGAGTTTTTTGTTTCATGCTTGCATGTCACGCTGCGCGTGACCTTGCGCCCTTTGAATGCATCTTTCAGCTGGAAAAGGGTATAGTCCCCCTTGGTGATAATGGAAAAGAAAATGGAAACTACTATGATGGGTTATATGGGGCATGCTTAGACAACTTCAGCCTTGCAGAAGTGTAGGAGAATCTTGTAGCCAGCCCACGGTAAACTCTAAAACCGAAAACTCTGCTCTGATTGGGTAGCTTTCCTGAAGAGGGGGTCGCCAATATAGACCCTGATGTCTTATAACCCTTATTATGGGGACCCCAAAAAATTCGAACTATTCTTGCAAAAGCCCTATTTCTGCTCCACCCTGAACCCTAAACCCCAAACCCTAAACCCTTTTTGGGAAAGCCCTGATTTCTTGTGCTGTTTTCTGGACAGGCCAGATGCAGCAGGCACGAGGTCAAGTGGTACAACGCCGGCAGCCTTTCCTTCAAAAAGCCCTTTTGTATAAAGGGCCTTAGGCTTTTTGTGTCAAGCATTTAGGAGCTATGTGCTTCTTCTTTTGACTTTCTTTGTTGTAGTAATAGCATCTTTAAACTAGGTTTACTGCTAAAAGGTATCCCAAGCTCAACAAGACGCTAATTTGGAAACGCGGTGTTTTGTCAGCTCCATGTCAGACAGGCAAGTACTGGGCGCGTTACCCAAGTCGACCTTGCCTCGCCACTCATCTCTTTGGAATTTCGCCATAGCGGCGGGATCTTGGTTTGGAATTTCCTATCATAGGGAGCCTAAAATGGAAAGTGATGTGGGAGGGCTTTCTGTTGGGGTGGGTGGACGTGAATGACTTTAATGAGCATGAAAAGCAAGCCAAGTAAGCCCTTGCTCTTGTGCTACATTGTCTATTGATGGAGGACAGCTTGCGCCACCTTATATAACCCCCCAATTGCAGTTACAGTACTTTGGGTATATTCAGTGGTGCAAGATTTCCTCCATAGCTTCGAGTCTGCGGTTCATGAGAGAATCTTGGACTATCAGCTCAATCAAGGCGATGCCTGTGATCTTCACGAGGTCACAGTATCCTGGATCGCACTGGGAATTTTTTTTGCCGGACTTGAAGGTTCCAATATTCAGCGCCAGAGGCCCTGTGTCCCAGCAACAGGAAATTGCAAAATGTCAAGAAAGCTGTGGTCACCTTAGGAAACGGTTTTTTGCACTAAATGCATGAGCCTTATATCCCAGCTGTGCCAGGCACCCCCTGTTAAGAAAGGTCTTTTGTTGATCAAGAGATGCAAGCTTCTGAGGACCGTACTAGCATGGTGCTAATGATAACTCACGGTATGTATTTTCACAGCTTTGAGAAACACATATAGCGAAAGCCCTAAACTACATTCAGGCCCAATACGAGAATCACATACCATGATCGAAACCACTTCGATGGCCGAAATCATCGCATCCAACAGGACCGGGCTTGGGCCTTCAGGGGGTCTCAGGTTTACGTGTCGGGATTCAAGGCTGCAGCTTGACAAGGCTATGCACAAACTCATCACTCCACCCGTTCCCCAGCCTGTCTGGACAAGTATCTCCGTTGATGTAGAAAGTGGAAGGTGTACCAAAAGCAGAATAGACCGATTTAGGGCTCTGAGTGCGGGCATCGTGGAGTAAGGGTGCTCACAAGTTTCGGCTTGCCGTAAACGTTTCAGACTTCGGGCTGTGGCACGTTGTGGAATTGGAGTTTCCATTTTGTGCTCCTGCGCTTCGCATCAGGGCATACTGGTTGAGGCATCTGCTGCAGGGCTTCAGCGACTTAATCCGGAGCCCTGCAGCCCTCAACCCAAACCTTTCAATGCTAAACCAAGGTATGAGTTGAGACAGCATCATGTTCAGTTTGTTTGTTCCAACGCCAGCAAAGATTTCAGGGCGACATTCCTTCGTGTTGCGTTGTCAAGCTCTTTGCAGAATTTTGTGCCTGAATTTCCGTGAGTTCCATATTTGGCTCTCTGGGCTTAAGTTCCTCGTGATGTGGTCGTTGCAATCAGCTTCTGCAAGCCTACAAGTTAAGAATGGCTGTAGCTCTGAAAGTTTGAGGTGATGAAACACCATGCAATCCCAAAAACGTGCAACTTCCACTACTTACAGGGAAATGGGCCTATTGGGAAAAGTCATGAGGACGGCATTACAGATGCCGACTTCGAAGTCCTGGCGCAGACGTCAGAAGAGCTGAAGTCCAAGGGCTTCGATGCATTTAGTTGGGAGGAGTCTATGGGCGGAGGTGTTCAAAGCTTAGAGTGCAGTTATGATAGTTGCCTTAAATATGGGGAGCCCCCATATAGACCCCAAAATACTGTGATAGTCTTGCATATAGGGACCCCGGAAGAGGTGCCCCTAATTTTGAGAAACCCCCTAGTGAGCTCAGGTCAGGGTCTGAGAGCTTGATAGCCCATGGGTGTGTTTGGGGTTTCAGGTTTCAGGATTCGGGGGCGTCTGCAGTTTAGTGTCCAACAGCTTCCCGTTCACATTCGCAGCTTTCGTGTTTTGCACGGCTTGGTAGTGAAGAGCGTGTGAATTTCCATCGATCTGCGTTTGTTTATTCAAAGGTTTCAATCAATGGTGTTAGCCACGCCATGTGTTTTCTGCAGATCCAAAATACTTTTCTTCTTCAGGTATAAGCAGGTGTGTCTTCCAGGAGTGCCAACCCGACTGTTTCTGAGACGTTTACATGTACACCATTTTACACCGTATGTCCTTGCATGTTGTTTTCTTAGATATGGCTTGACCTCAAGGTATATTTGATTTCTTAGGGTTTGAATCAGAAACAGTTCAGATCGTATTGCCGCATCAACTTGAAGCTTGACTCGCAAATTGGATGTGTTTATGCTTGGGAGCAAACAAGCGGGTGGAACAACTGCACAGAGCGACTTTGATTTTGGGGCTGGGTTTCAAGGTCCAAGAGTTGTTCAGCTGCATGAGGAATAGCAAGCGACTGAGACATCCAAATGTCACTCTCAGCCACTAATCTCAAGCCTGCGAGGACCGCGCAGAATGCGCTCCCCCTGTGGACGGTCGCCGGCGCTTGGACTGATTTGGAAAAATTTGCTTGGCATAAGGTTCTGAAGTTTGAGATCCAGGAGCAGCAGGTCTGCTCTGAATTCGGGCTTCAAAGCGTCGGGTTTGAGTTTACTCCCATATGAAAGCTTCCGAAACTAATCACGATTTTTTGGGCACATCATTTGAATGTTCACCGCCCATATTATGTAGGTTCACATTTTGGATGCTCCTTATATACACAAAGTCGTTCAATCCTAGTAAGTCTTACTTACATAGCTATACCAACCGTAGAGATCTTTGAGTGACCAACCTCAATCTGGAGTCAGCCCCCTGAAGTTGAGGACATCCACTTGTGCGGCATGTTTGCAATGTTTGCTTGATTGTCTTTGCTCCACCATGGAACTAGCTAGCAGTCCCACGACCAGACCCTACGCAAGCCTCATCCACACTACAGAAAAGGACCAGCATCGTCGCGGCTGACCTATGTTGGCCGGATTGCGAGTCACTTCGAAAGAAACCATCTCCGCAACGTTTTCTCCGAAAAGTTTTCAAGGTCCAGCAAGAGGAAGGATGTTTGAAGCTTCTGAGGTTTCGTTCAAGCAGCTGCTAGAGGTGCATGTAAGACAGGGCACAAGCAGAATCAACATGGCTGTGCTTGGAAACGAAGCATTATGCAGCCAGCCTCTGATGTAAGTGCATTCTTCATAGATATGATATGTCTGCTGACATTTGGGTGGCCTTGGCATGTGTCTCCGGATGTCTGGTTCCTTGATCCTTACAAAATTGTCTTGCGCACGCTTAGCAGATTTTCCGCTGACAGCCAGTCGCTGAGGTTCCAGGCAGATTCCGCGGGCGCGAGGAGAAGGGAGGAAAGTAAAATGACCGCCCAAGACCCTGGCAGCTGTGTAGACATGAAAGGAGCATAAGCTGTCAATGATCTTATGTTGCGAACCTTCCTGAATCCATGCTCAACACAACCCTCGACAGAAATAAAACCATGACCTGTACGGGCAATTCTCTTATGACAGATCGCGTATTCAAGAACAACTGCCGTAGGGACATTCCGCTGCGTGTATGCCCTGTACAGTTTTGTGGTTCCGAGAGAATCTTCGGCTTTAATCCTCGTGTCCACACCGCATGCACACCGCAAGACTGCTTGTCATCCTAATTGCTCGTTGAGGTTGTAGCCACCCGTTCGTAGGACTTCTGGGATTCTGGGATTTTTGTAGGTAGCCAAACTGTAAGAATTCCAAATCTTGAAGCAATGTGAATGCATAGCATGGCTTTCTTTAGATTTGTTGCGGATAGGGTTTGAAGCATGTCGGTTCCTATGTACAATTCCACAGTTTTGTATTTGGGGATGTCCGTTCTAAGCCGGGCGACACTTAAAGTAGGAAAAGAATGCTACATACGATGGTTCGACTTTTGTTATTGCACGTACTATACTATTTTTCTGAAAGGTGAAATTGCCAGGAAATTTCATGGAAAAGAACTAGGGCTCAAGACTTCTGACCATATTACACTCAGATTGTAACCTAGAAGTTTTCTTTCAAATTCGGAATGCACATTTTTAGTTGTGGATATCTACGGCCTGTTATAATATGCTCTAGCCAGGAATCTCGCGTCCTAGAAGAAAGGATATAAATTCAGAAAAACTTGCAAAGAGGCTGTGGCTTGAGATCCTCCTTACTTCCTGTATACGTACAGTAGAGCCTGTCCCCAAATCCAAATTCCAATTGGTTTTGGTTCTTACGTTACATGCATGGAGCCAAAACCTCAAAACATGTGAAGTCACCCAGGAACTTGACAAAAAAAAAAACATGTGCAATTGTGAGAACTGGGGATTCCTGGTCTTTGAACACCACCATGTTGGTGTTTTTTGGGGGATTCCAACAGTTGGAGACTAGATTTTGGTAGCAAGTAGGAGCTTAGAAAAGGAAAAAGAACCTGCAAAGTCTTCTGTTTTCAAGAAATGTGGCTCGAAAAGACACACACAGCAAAAACTTATCTGACACCAACTGCCCCACAGTTGTGCATTGAGACCGCAGCTAGGACACATGTTCAATACATCGTTCTTGATCCTTGAGCAGAGAACCCGCAGCCTTGACTTCCACCCAGATCGCACTTGTCAATGTAAGTTGATCATCCCATACCATGGCAGAGCCCCAAAGAAACGTTTACCCTGAAATTCATCAGCCCTTATCCAGGGCTTGGGGTTTGAGGTACGAGGTTCCTCTCTTTCTGCAACGCACTAGCAATGGCAAACCTGTTGAGCTCGCAAATGGCCATCGCTTCCTTAGCTTCTGGTGCCAAGGCCTTCCAGGCTTTTAATAAGGAGGATTGGGGACCATGCAGGTCGTTAGGGTTTGGTTTGAACTCTGAGTATTGAATTTTGTTTGACCTCCAAGTCTCACTCCTTGTGAGATTTGAGAAGTCAAGGCGGTCGTCGTTTAGTTTAGCCACTCGCGAAGTACTGGAAAGTCCCTGCTGTCCTTGTGTAGGAGCATCTCCTTCGTCAGGATCTTGCCTGGACTTTCTGAATAGCTGGTTTGGAGTTCCAAGTTTTCCTGTTAGCGTACCTGTATGCCGCCTTGACGGTTGGTCTCGCTTTTGAGGAGTCAGGGGTCACAATTACAAGAAAAACTAAGAAATCCCATTCAATGTGACAGGTGGAGATGGTCGGCGTTTCCACTCCTTATCAACAAGGATGTGCCGCCATAATTGTGGGACCATAAATTGGGAGGTTTACTCAGCCCAAGCCGTGATCCATGAAGGAAGTTACAACCCAAGTCATCTATGTAGTGACTTTCCCGCCTGTTGTCTACAGACCCCTACGAAAAATCCACGTTTCAGAACGCACACTGTTGGTTTGGTGGGGTTCCCAAATTGAATTTGCGGGCAAGACGAAGGAAAGGTTTCAAGCATGACCGAGGCCCACTGACAGAGCACTTTGGGTGAGATCTTGCCGCAATACAAGTCGCCTCAAGAATTTGAGAAGATTTCGGTCGGTTGCTGTATAGGTCTGAGGGCTGTAATATGCGTCATGTAAGCAGTTCATTGGTTTTATCGGGTTTTTGTCACACTTCTTTGTCTCTGGGGTGCCTAGGGAAAGGTTGCAGATTTCGCGGGCAGTATTTCGATTTGTGCTGCGCGGGCTCGTTTCAAGCTCCTGTATTGACAGAAAAGCAAGCACCCTAATCTGCATTGTACCAAGCGCCAATTTCCGTGAACCCCATCAGTACTTCCGGCTGGCCCTTGATCCACTCCGCCACTCAGACAGATTAATGTGGCAGAGTTTCTTTGCAAACTTGTTTATTTGTGTTTGTGCGAGCACATGACTTCTGCTGCAAGGATGTACCGTGGCTCAAAATGTGACAAATGCGCTCCGGGACCTGGGGTTTTTGGTGTACAGCGCTAAACCGTCTTGGACTGGTACCTCAGGGAAAGATTTGGCGGGCACGCAGGTACATTTACTGACTTCGGCGTAGTCCTAGGGCATGGAGCCAATTACGGGACACTACCTTGGATGGAAAGACGCTACAAGTCGACCGCAAAACCATCGACATCAAGCTCGTCCCTGAAGGCGAGGGTTTGTTTGTACTTTGCGAGCGTGCCAATCAAACCATCCACGCTGTGGTGGCTGTTTTCGTCGACGACATTCTGGCGGTTGGTGAGCCGTCAGTGGTTGCAGCTTTCATGTCACTTGTTCACGAAATTTGGTCCGCGAAGTTCACCGGTTTCATTACGCGCGGTTCTGAAGATACCATCTCGCATGGAGATTTCACTATGTCTAGAGTATCTGAGCTGAACTTTATTGGTCTCCAGATTCGCCTTGACGACCAGCAAAAGGTGGTTTTTTCATCAGCGTAGATGGATCCTGAGCGAGCTGCATAAGAGGAATTGGGTTCACCTTCGGGGTACGCCAAGCCTGCCGCAGGTTGAGATGAATGTTCATGAACCGAATGATGGACCAGATTATCAGGCCCACTTGAAGGCTGCGCAGACGGAGCTTGGATGTCTCTTGTGGATCTGCACGAAAACGAGGCCAGACCTGCTTGCAGTAGTGAGTATGGCTGCATCTCATTTACATAAGTGTCCATCGCGTGTCTTGAAGATGGCTCATGGATGCTGGCGCTACTTGAGGGCTACGCTTGATCTGGGACTGCGTTTTAGCGGACGCTCGGACGACAGTACGCTTCAGGTCTGGTCGGACGCAAGTTTCAGCCCGGACGATCAAAGCTGCTTCTGCTCCTCCACCCCGACTCCTACTGCTACTGCCACTGCTACTTCTACTGGTACTGCTGCTATCATCTACAATTACAATTTTTCATGCCACCGCCACCGCCACCGCCGCCGCCAACTTTGTATGGGCCATTTCCAGTTGGTCTGGCCGCAACTTTTGGCAGGGGGTTCCAGCATAAGGGGTGGTAAGTCTGGATTAGGATGTCTGCAACAAGTATGGCAGCATCTACGCAAACGTGTGCCCTCAAAGACCATCAGGGTACTAGGACCCCACGTATCACTTTGCTAAACGAGGACCTCCTACTACTACTACTATTACTACTACTACTATTACTACTACTACTACTACTACTACTACTACTCATAATAGTCGTAATAAAACTACTCGTAGTACTACCACCACTACCACTATCATTACCACTACCACTACCTACTAATTATTACTGCCGTGACTCCAAGAATGCTAGTAGATTTGCGTTGGTTTTTTAAAATTTCGGTTCAGTCAGGATGTCAAGGCTCGAATATCTCCGGTGATGAGGAAAGACAGCTCATGCGCGAGGCAAAGAGGGGAGGGGTGGGAGGGGATGGTGTGCAGTTGCGAAGAACAGTAAGGTTCTGGGTTCAGGGTTGAGAGATTCTTCTCTCAGGGCCGAGGGTGTGGGATTCAAGGTTCAGTCAGATTGAAGGTTTAAAAACTTGAGGATGAGGCTTTGAAGCTCACGGATGAGGGCTTCAGGGTTCTAACGCCACTCACACGAATTCCACTGGTCCTGGTTGCTACCTTGCTATAGAAAGCGTGTGTCGTGCATCTGACTCATCAGTGTGTGCTGTTTTTTGGCCATGTGTCCTGAATGGTTGGTCTTGTCCAGGCTTATAGTCAGAAGTACCTAATTAGTGTAACTGTAGAGCATAAGCATTGTGTAGGCTGCTTCTTCTGTTGGCACGGGTAGGTTCGGGCTCAAAGGATCGGATCTCAAGTTATTTATGACTCTTGTTGAGCCGAAAAGGCTGGGCCACCCTAGACCCTCATCAGTGTCCCAAGGCGGTGGCAGGGTTCAGTCTGAAAATGTCACATTGCAGTTTAGCTCGGTGGAACCAAGTTGCGACACCATTCCTTTACCACCCGGCCCTCCAAAGCAAAACCTAAACGAGGCTCAAGCAAGGTTTATGCGGAGTCCATGTAGGTCTCAGCTTGACGATTTGCAGGTGCTCTATAAAATGTGTCTATCATATCGTGGGTTGAGCTTGACACTGTATGA